GGGGGAGAGCGAGAGAGGGGGAGAGAGAGAGACAGGGGGAGAGCGAGAGAGGGGGAGAGAGAGATGTCATGTTGGTATAGCACATTAGCGTTAGCTTCTGCTAAATATGCTGGGATATCTCTTTCATGTTAGTTTCCACTAATTAGCATGTCGGTAAAACATGTTAGCATTAGCAGATCAAAAGTTAATAATTAGCCGCTTGAGGTTAGCTCTGCTAACTTTTTAGTTAGCTGCAGTAGCTAACCAGTGCTAATGCTGTTAGCCAAAGGACTAAAGGTTTACAGAGGTGGAAGCTCAGATGAAGAAAACAGACAGATATGGAAACTGATAATCGTAACATCCACCAATATCATCAACAAGATTTCAAATATTCTGCAGCTGTTTCTACATTTTAGCCAAACAAGAAGGAAATCTGTTGGAAAATCTCCTTAAAATCAGCTCCAGCTGCTCTTTTCCTTTAACTGCAGTGACTCTACATAGCAGATCTATCATTTGAAGATGGGATTCATTTCAGTTTGGAGCCACATGAGAAGCAGACATGTTGTTCTGGCGTCTCTGATGTGGAAAAGGAGAAGGAACCAAAATGCTGGATTAAAGAAATAAAAATAAATTAAAAAGTGGTCGTCCTCGAGGATAATGAAGTTTTATTATTTGTTTTCTTATTGTTGGGTCTCAGCTGGCAGAGGACAATATTTTCTGTGTTAGTGTTTGCCTTACTGCGTATACACACACACACACACACACACACACACACACACACACACACACACACACACAGTGGCCTCTGAGGTGAGAATCTCCATAATGATCGTGTATCAGTTTGATTTATCAGCTCCAATCGGAGCCGCCCCCCTCTCTCCCTGGGGAGACGCCGTTTACCGGTCTGCTGTCCCTAATCGGATGAGCCCGGCGCCGCCGCAGCCTGGGAGAGGATCCGATTCCCACCGGGGCCCAAATTAAAACGACCACTGTCCCCCGAACGGAGCGGCGATATTAGAAATGCTTAAGGATAATGTAGTGGTTGTGTTTTAATGTGACAGGACGAAACAGGAAGCCTCAGGGGGCGGAGCTGAAACGAGTCCAGATCAGAAGAAACAACACTTAAAAAAATAAACTTACTCCTTTTTACTGTAATTAAAACATTTTGTTTCTCTGAGAAAAATCATTTATGACCAAAAACTCAACAGATTGAGGATTAAAGCAGCAAATGACAGAAAAACTAAACTAGGGAACAAAAGTCATGACCAACAGGTTTCCACGGCAACAATAAAGCTGATTTTTTTTGGTAATTATTAACTACAAACGTTTCATGAAGTCAACAACAACAACAACAACAGAATTTCACTTCTTACGTTAAAGTTCTGGAAAACATTTTGTTGCCATGGATACCGAGGCTAACTACGGGGTGCCATTTGTAACGTTAAACTCTGAGCCAGCGAAACATTTAGTCTGTAAAAAAACATTTAGTTTGTGACATTTATGAACAGCAGGGAGAAAATCTACTAAATCAAATTATTGTTAAATTTTGACTAACTTTACAAACTGCTATAGTTAGCGTTAGCCCTGCTGCACATCGAGCAGCTACAGGAAGCTAGAAAAGCTACAGGAAGCTAGAAAAGCAGCATGTTTAAACTCTGATGAGCACCGTACCGCCCAACATTTAACTTCTTTCAACATTTATTAAATCAGGAAATCCAAACGAGATCATGACTTATTGGTAATATTACGACTATTCTCGTATTACTCCGATTTTATTCCTGTATTATTATAACTTTACGGATTACAAGTTTGTTTTTATCAATATGACGGCTGACGTGACTGTTCCTGTATTATTACCACTTTATTCACTAATTATAAATTTCACTTGGTAACATGATGACTGTTCTAGTATTATAAGGAGTTTATTCTGGTATTATAATTTATTTCCGTTTTAAGACTTTATTCTCAGATTAAGTAGATTTATTCTGGCACTGTTGCAGTTTTAATCTTGTATCCCAGTGAAACTCCAGCTCTGATTCAGCCATCAGCTCGGTTGTCGAGCAATATTCCTATTTTGATGCTGATCAATTAAACATGTGTAATGTTTGGCTTTCTTCATTTCATTTGTTCATTTATTCATGGTCTCTCCTGCTGTCACCGCGCTGCATGCATTCATTCATGCATTCATGCTGATGTATTTTTCACGGCCGCGTCGGCTCGGATCAGCGCATCGACTTCAGTCAAACACACATTTTAATTTACCGCGTTTGATCAGAGCTTTAATTCATTCACCTGTTGATGTGAGCAGGTTCCAGTCGCTGCTCTGAGGTCAGCAGCTCCATCCTGCTGCTGCAGGACAGAAAAGAGAAACTCAGGAAGTTTGCAGTTTCAATTATTTAGTTTTCACTAGAAAACAACAATTAGCATGAAATAAATTAGCATTAGCATTAAAATGCTCCATTGTTCCTTTTGTCTCTGAGTTGAAGTCGTGTTTTCTAACTGGGAATCAGTGAGCGTGTTTCTCCATCACAGCCTTTTCCTGTCCCCCCTGTCGTCTCGCCGTTTCCATGGCAACCTTGGCCAGCATCCAAACAGCCGGCGGGTCCCTCTGAAGGGCATCGCGCAGGCGGGATGGAAGATTCCCACCAGGCGGCTGCAGGAAGAGCGGCCTCCTGCGGCCGCAGCTTTCAACGCAGCGACTCACAAAACCGTTCGGTGGAGATTCATATGCAGTCAGGAAAGGTCAGAGGTCACGGGAGGAAGGAGGGAAGGGAGGCAGAAAGACAGAAAGAAAGAGAGAATGAAGGGAAAAATAAACATAAGAAAAGAAAAAACTAAGAAATGGAAAAAATATAAAAATCTAAGAAAAAAGTATAAAGAAAAACAAAAAATAGAAATAAAAGGAAAAAATAAAAGAAAAAAGGGAAAAATAATAATTTATACTTTTTTCCTTTTTATTTATATCTTATATTTTTTGTTTTTAAGTTGAATTTTATTTTATTCCTTTAGTGTTAGTTGTTTTTTGCAAGGTGTTCAATGTTTTTTTATTTGTTTTCTGTGATTCATATATGCAAAAACCCAATAACTATAGAATTAGAAAAAACACATGGAGTTAAAACGATATAAACAATTTGTCTATTTAGATTTCATAGCTTTCATGTTAAACCAATAAACGCTCACTGGAAATAAAAATCTAGAACATAATGGCAAAAAGCAGAAGGGAAATGAAAGCCACTGATATTCATATTAATATTCAGTAATAGAGGAGGATTTCTGAACCTGGCCGGCTGATCGCAGGAGTTTAAAGCTCAGAGCAGAAATGTTTCTGTTTGTTTCCTGAAATATTCAGCAGCAGAACATCCACATGAATCATTCAGTCAGGAAACGATTACGGAGTGCCATCTCTGCCTGAAACATTCATGCTTTTTATGTCATAAATTATGACACGCCTGTTTCCTCACTGCTCTGAGGGGGGAGCAGAGCAACACTTCCTGGTTGTGACCTCATTTCCTGCCATTATAAACTTTCTCATGCCAGAAAAAACCTTAATCTGTGAAGTTGGGATTAATTTAAACGATGAGATTGGACGCTGGAAAAGACCAGTGTTGTGTTCATTAAATAATTTAGCAGCAGAAAAAAGTTTTGAATAAATTATTTTGTACAATAAAATGTGGCAAATTAAATTCAGATCGGATAATCTGTCTGCATCCAGAGCCGATGCACCAGATTTCTGCCAGGCTCAAGTTTTGATTAATTGGTCCACAAAATCATTCTGAGGGCCACAAAGTGGCCCCCGGGCCACACTTTGAGCACCTCTACCAGAAATCTGTTAAAGTTAAAACCTGGAAGAAAACAAAAGCAACCAAACAGACAGAACTGCTTCAGACGACGGCGTATCAGGGCCGTGCTAAATGGAAAACGATGGACTAAATCTCCACGTCGGAAATGTTCTAGAAAAAAAAATCACAGATTTTGAAATTAATCTAGCAACATATCCAATTATATACTGAATTTCTGAGTTTCAGATTCTGAAACTTTTTCTAGAAAAAAAAATCAGAAATTTCAAAATTATCTGTCAAATTTCCTATGAAAAAGTTGGAAAATTTTCTTCTATTTTTCTAAAAATTTCTAATCTAAAAAAAATCAAGAAAAAACAGATTTTTTTCAAAATGTTTTTTTTAAAAAAGGATAATCTTGAGAAAAATGTATATTTCTGAGTTTTAGTAATTAAAACTTTTTAGAAAAAACTAAGACATTTCAAAACAGAAAATTTTCTAACAAAAAGCCACAAAAAACAGCAATTTTAAGATTAATCTCTGAAATGTTTCTTTTTTAAAAGAAAATGTGTTTGATTAATCCCAACTCTCAAAAATTCTGCTTTTCTTGTCTGAAATTTGCTGTTGTTTTTATCTACAGTGACCCAAACGGGCCTCCACTGGACCGGCCTCAGCAGCTAGCCTGCTAGCTTCTTGTTAGCTGATGTTTTATAGTTTATGTTTTATTGTTTCACTAAATCAATAAAACATTTTATCAACCCGCTGATGATCAGCTGACCTTCATGGCGACAGGCCAGGTGTGTTTGTTTGTTTCTCGGTTTTTCCCGCCAGTAAAAACCTAATTAAGCTGAAAAGTTTTTATTTTGTTGATTATTTGGCTCTAAAAGCGGCTCACCTGAAGGAACCAGAGCAGGAAAACATCCAACAGCACCGAACTCTGATTAGCAACACCAACCAGCTGAGGCAGGAAACACAGGAACACTGGGAATTTCAAAATAAAACAGAAAGTCAGGAATTAAAGTATGAGCACAGAAAACAGGAGAGAAACCAAATAGAGAAGAACAGGGCAAACATTTCACAGTAATGCAAACCCTTATATATTTATCTATATTTCAGTGATTCTTGAGAATAGGGACAAAACAGGTCGTATGATTAAACCACCAAATTTGAATAAAATATACACAAAATA